CTTCATAGCATTTTTTACCTAAAATTACCTTATTTAGAGCAGTGACTTGCTTTATTTATTTATTTTGAGATGGAGTTCTGCTCTGTCACTCAGGCTAAAGTGCAGTGGCACGATCTCAGCTCACTGCAGTCTCCACCTCCCAGGTCTCAGCCTCCTGAGTAGCCGGGATTACAGGCACCTGCCACAACGCCCAGCTAATTTTTTTATTTTTAATAGAGATGGGGTTTTATCATGTTGGTCAGGCTGGTCTCGAACTCTTGACCTTAGGTGATGTGCCCACCTCAGCCTCCTAAAGTGCTGGGATGACAGGTGTGAGCCACCGTGCCCAGCCTTACAGCAGTGACTTTAATCTCTTATTCACCAGTGCATGCCAGTGCCTAAATTTTGGCCTGGCATGTAACTGGTGCTCAAAATTACTTGCAGAATGAAGGAAGAAAGGCGTGCCTGCAGCATCCCTGGCCCCGTGCTGCATGCTTTGGGCTTCTCAGTGGCAGCAGTGGCTCCACATGGCATGACCGGCAGTGGCCCTGTGGCCCCGCACCCACCCCCCGACCCCGAGGCGCAGCCCGTTGGCGGCAGGGTACCTTCGTAGGCCTCCTCTGTGTACTCGGCGTTGATGAGCCTGCCCAGCATGTCGTTCTCTTCGGCAAAGGCAAGCAGGATCCGCACAATCTCCTTGGTGTTGGGGTTGATGTTTAACAAGGCCTTCATCAGACAGGTCTTCCCCGTGTCTGAGGCCGTCAGCTTGTGCATGAGGAAGTCTGTGGGCAGGGATGCAGCTACAGGGGGAGCCCAGCTGCCCTGGGCCCTCACAGCCCCGAGGAGGTGGGACTGCAGCTGCAGACCTCCAGACCCCACTCCCAGACCTCACACTGCGGCTCTCCTCCTCCCTCTCCAGCTGTTCCTCTGCCATCTCCTTTGCGGGTTCCTTGCTCTCTGTGGCCCATGGGAGCCTCCTTTAAGGCCTGTTCCTCTGTGCCCACTGTATGGCTTCCCGCTGTGCACTCCCACCCTGGAATCTCTGTCTCCAACCTGCCCACTCCGTCCCTGTGGCCTGCAAATAAAGCTCATGGCCTCCCCATCAACCTGAGACTGCCCTGGTCCTGGAGACAGCCAGGGCTCCAGCATCCACCAAGCCACCCAAGTCTGAACGGCACCGTGCTGGACTCCCCCACCCTCCCCAGGTCCTGAGTCCTGCCAATGCGGATGCCTGGGGAGCCCCTCAGAACCCTTCCCCTTCTCAAGCCCTGCTTCGGGGTCCCAGCCCCGCCTGGACGGTGGCCTTCTCCAGCTTTACGCCCACCTTCCACGCAGCGGTCAGACCACGATCTCACCTGCGCAAACCCTTCTGTGGCTCCCCGTCCCCCTCAGAGTCAAGTGCAGAGTCCCTAGCCAGCATGCAGGGCTCCCCACACTCCAGCCCCACGAGTTCCTGAGGGGAGGGGAAGGTGGACACCCGAAGCAAAGCAGGGACCCAGCCCTGTACCCTCCGCCAGGCTCAGACACTGACCAGGCACGTCGTGGTCGCGGCGCCGCCTGCAAAGCTCCTGCAGCTCCGCCAGCAGCTCCAGCAGCTCGTCCACGCAGCCCTCGGACACCGCCGCGAAGATGCGCTTCTTCAGCCGCCGCTTCCTTCTCCTCTGCTCTTCCCTCGCCAGGTGTGCACTGAAGCCAGACAGTGTTTCCAGCTCGCCACACGCGTCCTCTCCACTTCAGGCCCTCCTTTTCCCCGCCAGAGCTGCCCACAGGGCGCCGCGCCGGCCCCACGCCTGTCACGATGCCCGCAACCCGCTCGGCTCCGTGCACACCCATCAGGCGCCCCTCATAATGCATAGGCAATCACACTTTGTCAGAATATCTGTATTTGGATGCATGCAGCAATGGTCGGGAAGGACACATGCCTCACTGTTAATAGACATTGCCTTAAAAATGTGAGATTGCATATTTTGTGTTGTTTGAACTTTTTTATTATTATACTTTAAGTTTTGGGGTACATGTGCAGAACATGCAGGTTTATTACACAGGCATGCATGTGCCATGGTGGTTTGCTGCATACATCACCCCGTCATCTATATTAGGTATTTCTCCTAATGCTATCCCTCCCTTAGCCCCCCACCCCCTGCTATCCCTCCCCTAGCCCCCCACCCCCTGCTATCCCTCCCCTAGCCCCCCACCCCCTG